ATAGAAAGCATCGATCTAATACACTCGTGATCCGTTATAAATCCTCTCACGAAAAATGTATTATTAACTGCGGTGAAGAATTTTAAGATTTTCTTAATAATTTTGTATCTCTATTCGAGATTTTGGACAAATGAGCACTTGGCTGATAAATGTGGCACGATGTAGCGCATTCTAGGATGGATTATAGAACTGCGACTGTTCTCCGTCATTTTTAGAGGTTTCGTCCGATTGCATTCAGCACGCTTTTCTCAAGGTTTGTATTTACGAGTAATATAACGTCCTCGTTTCCCTCTTCGTTTGTTAAGCCGGCTCAATGATGTGTCCGTGACACGCTCGTCAGTGGTTTCCTTCGTCGTGCCAAGCTTCATCAGTGGTCGGAACATCGTCGAAATTGAAGATTGCAACGCGTATGAATAAAAAGACGGAGATGAAGTGGCGGCCTTGTGCCAGCTTCAGTAGAATCCATCTATTTTAACGAACTTCCTTTCGAATCTATCCTTTTGTAGCGGATTTCTAAGCCATCTTTTCTCATCTTTCTCCATTTTCATTCGAGGAATTCTCACCTTGTTTGAAGGATTATAAAACGTGACGTGACTCCACAGAAGAAAAAATCGAGCATTACAGATATAAATCATGAATTAAATCAAAGAAAATAGGAGTAAAGGGGATAAAATATAACGATTTAAAGTTTGTCGATTTTTTCTGATTAGCCTGTTTATCATCTATAGACACATAAAGTTTATAAATAAATTAAAATTTTGTATAATTTAAATTCTTTTGATTGAAATCTTGCTTCCACATGTCGATTAAATGAAAGTTAAAACTAATTTTTTTAATGCATAAAAATTAATTTTTGTAGGAACTTTTTATATTATTTTATTATTACAATATCTGAATAATACCATAAATAAATAATATTTATAAACAGAAAATGTTATTTAATAATGCAACTTTAAGAAAATAAAATCTGGACAAAAACAAAAATAATTGCAACGCTTCGTTATCTTACCCCTCTACCCCATCTATTTCCTGTAAAACCAAGATTCGTACCTTCCTTGATTTATCGATCAACGCATAATTCGTCTAATTGAAGTAAATGGAGTAAGCGAGACGCGTAAGTGATTTCGCGGAGTGAAATCGAAAGAGGATCGAGACACGCAGGGACGCAAGCATTGTTCATTCGGACGAGTGGCTTGCCTCCGTCACTCACGATATCCTGGACAAAAATGAAGCAAGCAGTCCTGCCAAACCGGCGCTCGTACTCTAATTAGTGCCGCGGTAATTGCTTCATAAAGTCCCAAGAGGCGGCGGCATAATCGCACCATAGCGAAACGTGCCTCGCGTTTCTTCGATTACCAGGGGAACGGGTGAGAGGCAAGGTCACATAAGGACCGAGGGCGGAAAAGTCAATGATCGACGATTAAAGTAGAATCGAGTAGAATTGATTACCATTGATTATCATCCTGCCTCGGCTCGTAACCTTTTTCGACGGTGCTCGCGAGCTATAAAGAATCGACCCCTTCGAAGGGCGAAGTCTCGAGAACCTCGTTGTCCCATCGAATAAATTCCCTCATACGAGCGATCCCCTTTTGCGCGTCCTGAGAATTTCCTGATTTTATCGTCAACTTTTCTCCCTGTGTGATACATTAATTCTCTTAATGAAGATACGGTCTAACGAAGATACAGATCTCATCATCATCGAGAAAACAGCTGCTTCCCCTAGCGTGATATTGTTCTTTAAGGTGGCTCCTGCGTTGAAATTCCATCGATATTCTCGAGCCATTGGGTTGAAGGGCGAAAAATACACCCTCGACGTAGCTCGGCCGCATTTTCCCGCTTTTCCTCCCCGACACGTGCACGCGCGCGCACGTGCCACGACCTGGGCGAGATATGCGCCCAAGAAGAGGGTCGCCGCGTTAAACGGCGGGACCTTTTGTACGGCCCTGTATGGGAGAATAATGGCCGAACCGTGTCTCAATCGTGCTTTATGGGATGTAATTGCGGTCTGGTGAGGGGAGGCCAGCCTCGCCGATGTTTAAGCTCGGCCTGGCCAGCGCCCCGCGTTCGCTCGCTCGCTCGCTCGCTCGCTCGCTCGCACACGAGCGGCGCGGCGACGAGCAAGGCGGATAGGAGCGTTACGGTTTTAACCTTCGCAACGAAGCACGAAACGAGTTTTCGTCTTCTTCGGGCGCGCCTTCGCCTTCACGTCGTGCCAGCGATCTCCGCTCGCTCTCGCGACCGAGCCTCATCGCGCCGTTGATTCCGCGGATTTCTCTCTTCACTACTGACAACAAACATGCGGAGGACCCAATGGCAGGTCTTTCTAACTTCCTTCCTTCCTTTTTTTTCGCGTTCAGCGCGAGTGAATTTCGTTTGAGAACTCCAATCGCGGGAATCTCCCGCGGAGAAATGGAATAAAACCGGATCCCATTGAGGTCCGCGTTTGTTCCTCGTGGAAAGTGTACAATGAAAAAAATTAATATATTCCGAATAAAAGACATTTCGCTTTTCGAGGTTTGGTCACTTCTCACGAAAGCGGGCCTTGATTCATAATAAGTATCTGGCAAATTTCGTCTACTGGATCTTGCTCCACTTTCCCCGGAGACGATCGGCGCGTACATCCGTTGATCCGCGCGATACGACAACGCCCGAGAACGAGGACTTACGATCGCGCACGCAAAAAGGCGGCAGGCGGCGAAAGAGGGAAGCGAAGGATAAAGGACAGAGGGAGCGGACGGGGGAGAGGGTGAAAGACGAGCACAAAGGCGAGCGGAATCATCCGGAGTGCCGGACACAGCATCGGCGTTAAAAAGGAAATACGACCCATAAAATTTCGATCTACGCGCCGGCGAGGCTACGGAGGCGACGGAGAAAAAGAGAGGGAGGGACAGGGCAGCCATGGCGGAATACGAAATCAAATTGCGCGGGGCGCATCGAAAAAAGCAGTCATCGAGACTTTAATAGCGGTTCTTTGGACATCCGCTGGCTTACGTACACATGCATGATCGCGCGTCACGAAAAAGATTCGAATAAACAGTTCGACCGCGAACTCTGCGATCATACGCGGAGGGAACAATTTTGCTGATTTAAAAGTTTATCGGACACAGATTTGAAGATAATTTTGTTGGACCGTCAAAATTATTATGTGGAACACTTAAACATAATAATAATAATACTGCAAAAATTTTGGATCTTCTACCAGTCAATTTAAACGTCATATATAATAATTTTGAAGGCTCAAACGATTATTTTCAGATTTGTATCCGGCCAAATTTTTAGATTGACCGGTAAAAAGTTTTTTTCATGAAGCTGAAAGACCATGAGGTTGGTACATCGTTTGGATATTTCTAAACAAAAAAGAAACTGAAAAAATATAATATAGATTAAAAATATAATATAGATTAATATAGATACTGTTCGATAGACAGAATATTAAGATGTTTAATTTTTTTTTTATTAAATTTATATCCTATTCAAAACAATTCAAAACAATTCAATTGCTTAAAAATATAATTTCATTAATCGAAATTGTTATTAAAGACAACCGATTCATGGCGCGCCATGATATCATTTCTTTCATAGTCCTTGACACTTACAATATGAATTTTTTATTATTAATAAAAAATCATTAGCGCAATTATTGCGATCCTAAATTTAGACCAGAAGAAACGTTTTCGTATA